AAATAACAAATATGTGGGTAAACTTGAACCGCTTTTACAATATAATAAATAGAAATCATACCATAAACTATGATGGATCTAAAGAAGGTTTAACCTATTGTAAAAATGCAGAATTTTTTATTGAAATAATATATTTAAATATTTATTTATTTTTTATATATTTTGTTTTTTTATTATTGATTATGTTTTTATTTGAAAGATTGTATTCTTTATAGATTGAAATCATTTCTATTATATTTAGATAGGGTATAGTAACAGAGGCGAACCAAAATGTACTCTTTTTCTCTTATATATACAACAATACCTTGATTTGGCTTAAATGATTTAGGAAATAGTTACATTGATTCGTTTTTATTTATTACCATGCCCACTTGCTTTTTGTAAAGATCTGCTACATGTTTTGCAATCGTCATTTACTTTGGAGTTTTCTACTCTTTCATTCTTTCCATATTTTTTAAAATCGAAAAAATTTTCAAACTCTTTATCGTTTCTATCTAAATATAATAAATGATCTGCTAATTCTTTTGGTGATTTAAAATTGTTAACAAAAATTGCTGCATTTAGTCTTGGGAAATAATTTTTTACTGTTGGGTGCTCCATGATAAACTATAAATTTTTAATTTGGTTAGTGATGATATAAAAGCTTATTTCATTTATTATATATTTACTTATTAGGAACAGTTCCAATACACCAAAAAATTTCTTTGTAACATAATGGTCAGTTTTACTATTTTCAAATGCCATCATTTAATTTTGATCCATTATAATCTTTGGATAATTCTGATTGGCACAAAGATGTTTGGAAATCTTTAAGAATCTACCTAAAAACTTTGTTCTTCCTTTAGAGTTTTGTTCATTAAGAATTGAGCTTGCTATATTAACTTTGTAAAATCATTAAATCATATTTAAAAGATTGACTTGTTTTAATCGAAATTGTTGTTTGGTTCAACCTTTAAATAAAAATTCTGGTATCTTTTAATTTTTTTTTTTTTTTTGACTTTTTTCAATTTTAAAGTATTTTTTGACAAAAAATTTCAATCCAACAATTTTGATTATTTTTTGAAAAAAAATGTTTGATAAGAGTTTGGATAATTATATAAATTGGAATCAATACATTTGACTGTTATAACAGTTGGATATCACCAGTTTGCAGTATTTTTATAAAACTTTTTTTTTTTTTTTTTTTTTTTTTAGAGTAAAATTTGAATCATCTCAACATAATAGATTTGAAGAAATTTTTTTTATTTATATTATTTATTATTAAAATAATTTGAAAAAAAAAAATTGGAAATTAAAAAAAAAATAAAAAAAAATAAATAATTTTCATAAATTTTTTTAAAAAAAAAAAAAACCGAAACTATTTTGTCAACCAATATTTTTTTAAAATATTTTTAGTTTATTACTATTATTATTATTATTATTATTATTATTATTGTTTTTGTTACAAAAACTATATTGAATATTGATATTATTAAATTGAGTTATTATTAATAAAATTTTTTTAATAAATAAATAAAAAGAGATAGTCTATTTTTTCTTTCTATTTATTGTAGTATACTACAATGTGTGGTGTGGTGTGGTGTGTGGTGTGGTGTGTGAAACCAAAAAATTTAAAAATTTAAAAATTTCTCAACATCAAAATATAATATCATTATAAACAAATTATTTTTATTTTTTTTTTGTTATTTCAGACTGGTTGTTGTTAAAATATCATGAATAGGAGGTTGGGAAAAATAAAAAAAAAAATTCAAAAATAAATTCAAAAATAAATTGAAAAAAAATAAAAAAAAATAAAAAAATTTAACAAAAAATAAATACCATAAACCATATAAACCATAAATTGATAACTAAATATAAACCATTCACTTCTAATTACTCATGGACCCTCTTAGGAGGTCATCCGTTAAATTGGAAGCGATACAGAGAAGATTAGCAAAGTCCCTGCGTAAGGATGACTATAAAGTAATCAAGAAGACAAACCTTTTTGCCCCAACTGATCTCCCCCAAAAAAAAAAAAACTCCAATCTTTCTGGTGATAAAAATAATCTTTCTGGGAAATAAAAAGTATATCGTAGTGTGAAAGAAAAACCAAAGATACAATGTTAATAAAAAATAGTAATCTAATGTCTTGAATAATCGTATCGAAATGGGTTAAAGATACAAAAAAAAAAAAAAAAAAAAAAAAAAAAAAAAATAGTTCGAATATCTTAAAATATCAAGAATCATGCTCATAATATAAAATACACCAACCAAAACCAAAACACTCATGATATACTAGAACAACTAAATCCCCAGTTGGGGATAAAAAATCAGATATTATAAAACAAACTCAACTATTCATATAATCACAATCAAAAGATAGATGCAGGTAAAAATGCTGCTTCTGTTCCATGATTCCTTCAATGTGTTGATTCCAATTTCAAAAAATTCATGAGTTCCAAAATCAGATAAAAGCCATTCCAGTCAAGATCTTATAAAAGAGCTCAAAAACGAAGAGGGCAAGAGCATTGAAGCTGATTAAAGATTCATCAATAATCATTAATCAATAACTCTTACTAAAAATAAAATACTATCTCTTACACTAATAATATAAATAGAGAATAAAATATAAAAAAAGTTATCGTTTTCACGAATCATTAACTAAATTCAATACTATTGTAAAAAAATTAGATACTATTTCTTCATTAAATTTCATGAAGAACTATATTTTTAATATTATAATTAATTATCATTGATTAACTAAAGTTTTTTTCATCATAATGATGAGGGCAAACAATGATGGTGATGCTGGTACTGATGATGATGAGGGGCAAACAATGATGATGATGATGAATGCTGATGATACTGATGAGGATGATGATGCGAATGCTGAATGGTGAATGGTGAATGCTGATGATGATGATGATGCTGGTGCTGATGAGGGGCAAACAATGCTGATGCTGATGCTGATGATGATGAGGACCAAGATGAATGGTGGTGATGATGATGAGGGGCAAACAATGATGATGAATGCTGCTGATGATGATGAGGGGCAAACAATGATGATGACCATAAATATTATTAATATCGTTGTCTGGAGCAGAACTGGAATCAAAGAGGTTACCGAATACAATTTGAGCATAGCTTGAATGATTTCCAAAGAGAACGGTTATAGGTAGTTCAACAAAAAAGACTGAGACTGGATGACAGTGGATATTAATCTTTGGTTCATTGGTGTTAATTGACAATTGGCTCTTTATTTCCTAGGAAAATTAAGGGATCTTGCTAAACTCTGAATGATGCTTCATCTTGGGTAACTTGAACTTTTGGAGCTGGATTTTCCCATTGAACTTCTGGTTGGTAATATTAAAAAAAAAATAAAAAAAAATTTAAATGAATTGAAATTATTATTATTAAATTATAAAAAATTTAAATGAATTAAAATGAAAATAAAATTAATTGGGGGTTGTAGGGCAATGATGTTATGTAGAGGGTGATTATGTGAGGACAAGAATATGATTGAAATTATTATTTTTGAAGTTTAAAATGTTGTAAAAAACAACCTTGATTATTATTGTTATTAATCTTGATTTCATAATTTAAGCTAAAATATGATATCTAATTTAAAGACAACTATTTTTTTTTTTCTATGACAGCTATAAAATATCTATGGGAATTGATTGAGTGTTGGTTTTATATAACTAATATAGAAAAAACAAAAATGAAAATACAAAGGCTATTAAAGAAATTATCCATTTTCAAAAAAAGTAATTTCTAAAAGAGAAATGTAAATTATTTTTATCTATATAAAAAATAATATGCTATTTAATATTATTACTATTACTATTGAAGAGCTATAACTAATATGAAACTGTATATTGTTATTTTGTAGTTGAAAAAATAATGAAGAGGAATATAAAAAAAAAAAAGAAATTTTTTTAAAAAAATGAAAAAAAAAAATAAAATTTTAAATATTGTGCAAACTGGTCAATTTTGCGCAAATTTGTCATAAAAAAAATTTTTTATTATATTAATAAAATTAATATGGAAAAAAAAAAAAATGCACAAATTTTCTTTTTTTTAAAATATTTTGCTGTATTATCAAAAAAAATGAAATTTACCGCCCCACGAAATTTCTACAAGCTATAAGAAATTGCGAACATCATTATTAAAAATTAAAATAATAATAATTTTTAACTAATATAGCCACTATAGATTTTATAAAAATAGTTTTTATAATTAAATTTAATCTAAAAATCCACTTTAAGGAAAGTTTAATAATTATATTTTTTATTTTAATATTCATTCCTTTAGAAACTATCATTGTTCAATTAATTATTCAAATAATATTCATCAATAAGTTCGGTAACTTTCCCATTGGCCTATCGGTTTGGGAAAATGGTAATTCCTATTTTATTTTTAGTATTTGGTTTATTTGTTAAAAAAAAAAAAAAAAAAAAAAAAAAAAAAAAAAATTTTATTTGTTTTTTTTTTAAAATTAGATTATTTTTTTTCACAACAACCAAAATCATATCAATTATACACACAATGGATGATCAATCATCAGAATCATCAGAATCATCAGATTCATCTTCAATAGTTTGGATACTTTCCTTAAATTAAAAACTATGTAAAAGGTTTAGAAGTTCCATATGCACTTTTAGAAAATATCCACAATTCGATATTCGGTCAAAAGAATTCGAATCAAAAGCAGATTTCAAATCAACAGCCTCAGCATCAGCATTAGGATTAGGGTTTTGATTAGGATTAGGATTAGGATTAGGATTAGCATTAGGATTAGCATTAGCATTAGCATTAGCATTAGCATTAGCATTAGCATTAGCATTAGCATTAGCATTAGCATTAGCATTAGCATCAACAACAATATCATATTATAATGCAATAATTAACAATAATAATACTAATAATAATAATAATAATAATAATAATAATAATAATAATAATAATAAATAAAAATAAAAAATTAAATATTATATTTATTTTTTTTAAAAACAAAATAGTTTATTTATTTATTTATTTATTTAATATTAATAACAATAACAATAGCAATAGTAAATTTTATAATACCATATTAACAATATAAATAGTAATAATCATGGTAGTTTTCACAATATATTGCTATTGGTGCAATGGCAGAGAATAAAAAGGATAAAAGTGTAGGTGGACCAGCATACATAATAATAGCATTACCTATAAAATAATAAAAAACATTAATATAAGAAATACTATTTATACAATATATAATCATACCAATTGATACAAAAACACCAGCCCCTACTGTTGAACCAATACCATATGAAATAAACAAAAAAAAAAAAAAATAATATGAATAAATAAAATATAGAGATAAAAAAAAAAAAAAAATGTTTCTAAAGTTAATTTTTCTTCTGAAAGAGGAATTGATACATTTATTATTATTTTTTAAATTTTTTATTAGATTCCTTGGCCAACTTTTGCTCTTTTCTAAAAATGTTTCCTTTTTTTTTATGTTCTGAAAAACATTTGTCACAATAAGATCCCTTTTTTGTGTGTCTAAATACAATTGTTTCACATTTTTCATAGTTTACACATTCCTTAAAAACATTAGGGTCATCTTTTGAATTGTTGTTCTTTTGTGCACATTCTCTTGAGCAGAATGGTGATTTTATATGGACACTTGGTTTATTTTCGCATACTGAGCACGATGGTAAAGCTGGTTTTTTTGGGGGGGCATGGGTGGTTGTTGTTGTAGTTTCTGTTGCTGATTTTTTGGGGGCATGGGTGGTTATTGTTGTAGTTTCTGCTGCTGTTGATTCTTTTTTAATTGATGGCTTTTTTGATGTTAATGATGGGGCAGGGGTTGTTGTTGTTGTTGTTGTTGTTTCTTTTTTTATTTCTGGTTCATTTTTAATTGAGTTGTTAAACGAGTTGAATAAATTTTTATAATCGGATTTAGGTTCAAAGTTTTTAAATTCTTCAGTAAAAGCTTTAATACTATATTAAATAAAAATTTATATTAATAATTTGTTTTGTATATTTTTTTATTGTAAATATTAAAATCTCTAAAACTTACCTATTTATGAGAAAGTAACCATCTTTTGAAACGTTAGAATGGGATTTTGGGGTGAAGGTATCATAGTGAAATGAGGATGATGCTTCAGTAACCGCATTATTAAAACTGGCTCTATCCGAGTCTGAAACATTACAGGCATTTAAACAAGAATCAATAAAAGTAACAATATTGTATTGCTTTTCTTGTGGTGGTAAAATTAAGTTTGATTTACTTGGGTCAATTGGGGTTTTATTTCCAATTAAATTCTTAAAGTCACCATGGTATCTTGAGTATGGAATAATATTCTTTCTAATATATTCGAGAAATTGTTGTGATCTTTTAATTGACTCCATTAAATCATTCTTATTAAAATGTGATAATATAGTTGGATAAACACATTGTTTTGAATACCAGTATTTTGAGTTTTCTTCACCATTGTTAAATCTTTTTTGAAATTCTTTCTCTTTTGAAATTTGAAACTTTAAAAAATTTGAATAGTTGAGAATAGCTGGAGATAGTTCATTTAAAGGTTGATTACCAGCCCATATTCTAACTGAATTAATTGTTTCTAATAAAAATGAATCACTATGATTTTTTTTAATGAATTCGAAAAATGGGAAAAAAATAATGATTAAACAATTATTTTTCTCTGCAGCATTTAACAAAGGTTCTAAAAAAGTTTCATCTCTAATTAGCCTATCAATTGCTAAATTAAATAAAGATATTAATATATGGGCTATACTAAAAGTTTATAATTATAAAAATGATTATACAAACCCAAAGCTGAAACAATAAAATTTTTTTTTTCATTTTCGCTAAATTGATTAATTTTATTTACAATTAAAAAATCATCTGATTTATACAAAAAAAAGAAAATATTAGTAAATATAATAATTATTGATTAATAATAATAATGGTGGTGGTGTTAAAAACTTACCCTTTTCATTTTCATCCTCTATTTCAATGTTATATTCATCATTATTTTTTTGATAAGTTGGTTTATCAATGGATTTATATGAATGAGCAGGTACTTGTGGGTTTTTTGAAGACTCACTTAAGGAAATTAGACCTTTTAAAAATATTATTTGATCTTCGTTTGAATTGCTAATACTCGAAGATGTCTGATTAAATTTACCAGGAGAAGTTCTAGAAAAATAAATCCCAGGGAGTACTTTGTCATTACAAAAAGAGTCTATGAACATTTCACCAAAGTTTCTTTCTATCCATTTGATTTGTTCATAATATCTACCGACATAAATAGAATGTTGAATAGAAAGTTGGATGAAGCCAGAAAAAAGGTTTTTTAATTGTTCGATAACCTGGTCAAATGGAGTTGCTACTTGAGTCCAGGATGCATTAGCCCACATTTTTACTGTTGTTGTATAGCAAGAGCTCTTGTCGAAATCAACGAGAAGACTTATACCATCACCAAATAAATCAATTGGAGCCATAATAATAAAGAGGGATATGTGGTTGTTTGTGAATAGTTGAACGGCTTCGGAAAAATCTGAGCCTCTTCTGGTTAAACGATCAAGAGAGGCAACAATGACAACATCAAATTCTTCAATTTCTTGATATAAATTATAAATTTGAGTTCTTTCTTGAAACGATGTCCAATAACAACTAACAACCTCTATTATTAATCTTGGAGTCATATTAAATGGTGGTTTGTTTGGTAAGTTCTTTAATTGTAAAAAGAACATTGAGTTGATGTCAAGACATGCTTGGTTTAATAAACTTTTTCCTTGACCAAGCTGAGCATCTGTACTTTCTCTAACAAGTAACCAACAGTTTATTGAGAATTCTTCTTTTTGACCACTAACATCGGAAATATTTTTAGAAAGGTCTTGGGTGCCAGCATAATTATTTAAATATTTGGATATTGATGCTAATCTTTCTTTTTGTTTATCTGAAATTAGCGAGATTGATTTTTGAGCAGCTTTGTTTAAACAAATATAGCCTCTTCTATAATAATATTTACTGTTAAGATTTATTAATCTTACAGGATTTTGTTGATTAATAAATGATTTTACCCATTCTGATACGTCTATCTATAAAATATTTTAAAAAAAAAAAAAAAAAAATATTAATAAAAATTTTTTTTTTTTTTTAAAAATAAAATTTTTTTTTTTTTACTTACAAAATTATAATAATTTATTTTGATTGATGGTTTTAAATTTGATTTTAAAATTTTAATTAAACTTGTTAAATCTATATTTTTTTCAAGTTTTAAAAATAATAAAAAGCAACCATTCAATGAATTGATTTTGGTATCCTGTGAATCATATATTGCCAAGTATTTAATAATTGAATCTGAATTAGCATCTTGAATTTTCCCTGATGGTGGAAAATTTGGTAATGGAATGTACATTCTTCCAAGTTCAATATTTGTTGACAAAACAAAGGTATGAGTAGTTTCAGGAGGTGGAAGCATTGGTAATTTACTTTTTCCATCATCACGTATTGGAGTCAATTTCAAATTCTCTATTTGATGAAAAAATAAAAAATTTAAAAAATTAAAGCACCAATTTGGAATTACATTTTGAACTTGTAAACTTTCTTTAAAATTTTTTACTGAAAAATTTTGATTTGAATTATTAATACAGTGAATTAAAAATAGAGAGCAAAGAGTTTCTATACCAACTTGGTGTGGATATTTGTAAACTAGAACGAATGGAGCACTTAAACTTGAAAGAACAACAACAATTGATTGTAAAATGGTTTTAGGTAATGGGTCTTTTATTCTGATTGAACTAAAATTTTCTTCAGGGAATTTACACCTCCAGAAATTTTAAAAAATAAAATTCGAAAATAGGAATAACATATAAAAAATTACCTTTTTTTTTCTAAAAATTTAAAAAATTACCTTTTTTTTTCTAAAAATTAAAAAACTACCTTTTTTTTCTAAAAATTGAATAAATTGCTTTTTTTTTTTTCGAATTTTTTAATTTTTTTTTGCAAATTTTCTTTTTTTTGTTTTTTTTTGATCATTTAGTAGATTGGTTTTTTTTTATTTTTTCCAAAATATGAATTTTTTTTTAAATTTATTCGAAAGACATAATTTTTTCTTTTTTTTACCAAAATTCGTATTTTTTATTTTTTCCAAAATATGAATTTTTTTTCAATTTATTCGAAAGACATAATTTTTACCAAAATTCGTATTTTTTACCTAATTTATTTATTTTGCTAAGTCTTTTTCCATATTAATTTTATATGGTAAAAGACTTAGAAAAATTTCAATTTCTCATATTAATTTTATATGGTAAAAGACTTCAAAATATTTTCATTTCTCATATTAATTTTTATATGTAATAAAACTTGAAAAATTTCGATTTCCCACATTAATTTTTATAAAACAATAAAAGAATAAAATTAAGAAAAATATAAACAAAAATAATTAATTAAGGTCTTATTCTAAAAAAAGAAAATTGTTATATAAAAAGATTTTGATTTTTTTGTTTTTTATTATATTCTTTTATTTCTTCAGGGCTTATACCGAGTTCAACACAAATTTTATCAAATGACTTTTTTTTTGATTTTTTTAATGGTGAATTTGATTGTGGTGCTTTTTCATCAATTGTTTTTTGTGGAATAGAAATTTCTATGGAAGATTTATTATCTATATCTAAATAATTTGGTTTTGAATAAGAATAAAAAGATTGTTTCCCATTTAAAATCCATTTTGCAAATTCTGTGGCAACTTGATCATCAGTAATTGTAAAAAATAATTTATTAGAAACCATATCTATAACTACTTCTTTTTCAAGTTGTAATTGTTCATTAAACATATAATTTGGATATTTGGCGCATAATTCTTTAAAACAAGTGTCTTTTGTTTTCCATAAATATCTAATATTTTTTTTTGCTTCATTTACAACCGATATAAGTGATCGTTTACTCCATGGATACTCGAAATGATCTTTATTTTTAAAATCTAAAATATCTTTTAAATATTCGAATAATTCATCTGGAATTTTTTCATTTGTTATAGAAATTAAATTTGGAAGGTCTTTTTTGAACCATGTTTTAACAAATTCTTTTATTTGATTCCTTTCTTTGTTTTTTACCAAATCCTTTTCTTTGGGCTTTGGATATGGATTTGGATTTGGATATGGATTTGGATTTTGTAACATATTTAATTTTTGGTTTAATAGATCTAGTTGTTCTTGAGTCTGTTGTTTAAACAGTTGTAGTTGTTGTTCTTTTTGCTTTAAATTGAACTGCATTTGTTGATTTTTAATCCATAACATTTCAGAAATTTCTTCTTTATTTGGGTTTTCTTTTAACATTTGATAAATACACGAATCAGGTGTGTTAGTCGCTGAAACTACAGAATCCATAAATTTAATTGATATTTCTTTAAAATATTCCACACATATTGATAAAACAATATCGAAATCATCTATTTCATTAAATAAACCATCAACTTCTTCTTTAGAAAATGATGATATTTTATATGATTGAATGATTTCATCTTCTTCTGGAGAGGGATCACGTATTACTTTTTTTTCTTCAGTTTGCTCCTCAAAACCTAAATCTTGATTCTTTTCACACCCTTCTTCCTCTTCTTCCTCTTCTTCCTCTTCTTCCTCTTCTTCCTCTTCTTCCTCTTCTTCCTCTTCTTCCTCTTCATCCTCTTCTTCCTCTTCTTCCTCTTCATCCTCTTCACTCTTTGTATTTGCTTTGATAGGACTAATCTCGCTGAAATCTTCTACCTCTGTAAATCTATGTCTATTTTTATTGAATAAACATTCAAAAAGGGAAGGAATATTTTTTTTATCATACATATTATGTTCCCAAAAAAATTTTTTGATTGTTTCTTGGTTGTTTGAAAAAATTGTCTTTGTATCATCATTTCTTGTGAATTTTAATATACCATTTAATGAAGCTATATCAACGGTTGTTTTTTTCGTCATTATTAGTGAAATATATTTATAAATGATTTAATAAATTGTATAAAATAATAATCCATGTGTAAAAAAAAAAAAAATAAAAACGAAAAAAAATTTAAATTTAAAATAAATAAAAAAAAAAAAATTTTAAAAAAAATTTTAAAAAAAATTTTAAATTTAAAATAAATAAAAAAAAAAAAAAAAAAAATATTAAATTTTTTTTTAAATAAAATTTTTTAAATTAAATAAAAAATTTATTAAAAATCATTGTCATCACTTTGATCGATATCATCTTCATCCAATAAAATATAACAATGTTTTTCATCCTCGTGAATGTCACTCGATAATTCTTGAATTACAGTTTTTGACGACATGTCATATAATGATCTTTTACCAACTATAAAAGAAAAATCATTTCCTTGTTCATCTTTTGAAAAAATTTTACCATCAATAATTTTCGAAATAGAGTTACTTTGATTCAATTTGATTAATGCTGTGTTGAAAGTATTGTTGATATCATCACCATTATTATTATTATTATTATTATTATTATTATTATTATTATTATTATTATTATTATTTTCATTATTATTTTTTAATGATTTTAAACTTTTTTGATAAGAATTTTTGGTAATATCTGAAAAATCTGATGGATCATCATCTAAATATTTAAAAATAAAACCACTTTTTTTATCAATTACTTAAAAAAAAAAACTTTAATAAAAATAATCATTTATATTTTATAATAATCCTTAAAAATACTTACTTGTAAAAATGTTTGATTCTTTAATTGGCCACTTGTATACCTTGTTAAAAACACTACCAAAATCAACTACACTTGCATTTTCATTTAATTTTAATTGATCATATTCTTGATAAATTACTTTACCAATGCATGTATGAAATTCGTTAATGAAACAATAATGTACGATAAAATAAACAATATTATTTACCAATATCATTTCATGTATTCTTGCATAACTTATTTCTCTTTCATCCTTCATCAATTTTTCATTGAAAGTAATGGTATTAACTGAAACGAAATCTCCAATTTTATAATTTTCTTCTTTATGAATTGCTTCACTAACTAAAAATACTTGATCGATTTTAGTGTTTTTGAAATCTTCAGTATTAGAATTTAAAAATTGCAATATATTGGTTTTAATATCTTTATCTTGCTCTTTTTTAATAATATAATAACATTTGAATTCAAACTATATTTATAAAAATTAATATATTGAATTTTAAATTTAACTTTAATATAATTTACATACATCCTCCACAATTTCCATTTCAGTATTTATATTTATAAAAAATAATAAATTTGAATTTCTTAAAATTGATTTACTCGCAGAAATATTGTTTGATTTTTTCTATAAATTATGATATAATAAATTAGTGATTTTTTTTAGTTAAAAATATTAAAAGAAATAAATACTAGTTCTGTTGATTTAGTTGGTTGATGAAAACTTTCTAAACTATTACCATAAGAATCAATAGGATTTAAATTAGCTTCTAATTTTTCAATGAGACAATGTAATGCTGAGTGATATGTAATGAAACCCTATATACAATAAGATAATTGTTAGAAAAAAATAATCCCAAGATAAATATGAGAAACTTACAGTTTCAATAAACTTCTTCAATTCGACTTGATAATCAAGTTTTTTTTTATTTTCTTTTTCAAACTTCTTTGTTAGAATTATCTTTCTAATTTGAAAGTATTCATCTCTTTGTTGAACAATTAATTCAATGATATACTTTGATTTTGAAATTTCTTCATCTGTTTTGAATACTGAGGGTGAGTTGAATAATAGTTTCAAATATTGTGCTTGTAAATAAAAACATTTTTTATATTTCTATATATAAAATTTAAAAATTTAGAATAGAATTATTTAATAAAAAAAATAATTAACTTACTCCTATTAAAATATTATTATATTGTGGTAGCTCTGTAAGTGCAGGTGTTAATGTTTCTAAAAGCAGTGAGAATTCTTTACCTACAAAGTTTTTGAAATCAAAATCTTTTATATCGACACCATCTATTGTTGGTAAAACTTGAAAACATTTTAAAATAATATTTTTTTGATCTATATTAATTAAGTTCCAAAATTCTGTTAACATTCTTTTCAAGTAATTTAGTAATTCATTATGCCAGTAACAAAGTTTAATTAATGAATAACCATTGGTATTAATAGTTTTAAAAATATAACCTATAAAATATTTAGACTCTTGTAAACGTTTAATTATTTTAATATAAAAATATAGTTTTTTTTATAATTACCCAATTCTTCTTTTAAACCATATCTATCTAAAAAAAAATTTTTTACTTCTTTTTCTTCTAATTGATAAATGATTTCCTTTACATATTGGGTATCTTTGAGTTTTGGTCTTTTTAAATAACTTGTTTTAAAATCACCTTGTTCAAATTTTGGAAGTAAACATGATTGACAACCACCATATATTTTATTGTGATATGCTATATTAAGTAAAAGTGCTAAACCTGGGTTATCACCAAAAAATTCTTTTACTGAAATTATAAAAGTTTTTCCATCTTCAATAAATTTGGTCTGTTTTTCTGAATGATTTAATAAATTTGATAGTACAACTTCTAAAACTTTTTGAAAATTTGTTTTGCTTGTATAACTTACAATTCTTTCATTTTTTAATGTTGCAACTCTAATAAAAAACCTATTTAATAACCAACTAGGAAAATTTAAAGGATAAATGACAATATTATTTGTTGATAATTTTGATCTATTTACTGAATATGAATCTGAATATATTCCTACTTCGAAAATGTAAACCATTTCTCTAATTATATATTAAAATTGTTAATTTCACATGATAGATTAATGTTATTAGATAGTAATGGATTTATAATTTATAATATTTACCTATTAATAGTTTTCTTTTTTAAAAATGGTAAAATAAGATCTTTGAGTGGTGAAATCATTATATTCTTTATATAGGTGACTGCATCATTATAATAAATAGTCTTTTTTATTTTGAATTTGAATTTGGATTCTAATTCAATTTCTTTTTTCAATGGTATTACATTAAAAAATTCATAGTCCAATAAAAACCTTTTTACTAAAGTTTCAATAGAAAAATAAATTTTATTATAAATACCATTTTTAGTTATTTTAAAACCACCAAGTTCATGTAGTAGTTTTTCTGCAGATGTTTTGTTTAGTTCTAATATTTAATTAAACTAAGTTAGATGAAAATATCAAAAGTTTTAAAATATTTTAAAGTATATCTACCATTTTTTATGTACATTAACAAAATTATATTACATATTCCTGAAAGATGAGGTGAATAAAAATTGGGTTTTTCTTTAATTCTTTTGGATTCATTATGGTTTTTTATTTGTATATATTGAAATTCCTCAACTTCATCAATAGTAGAATCCAAATTTTTTGAATATTCATCATTACCACCATCATAATCATTATAATCATTATAATCATTATAATCATTATAATCATTATAATCATTATAATCATTATAATCATTAAGATTCTTATAATCATTATAATCATTAAGATTATTATCATTTGTACTAATAATTATATTATTGTTATTATTCTGACCATTATTATTTGATAAAGTGATTTGATGTAAATAATTATTTTTTTTGTGAATATTAGTTAAAGTATGTCTTCCTATTCTTGAATAATGTTTGTCACATGCAATACAATATTTTTTTTTATAATTTATTCATTTTTAATTTTTATTTTTATTTGTAAAGTATTTTCGTAAAAAAAAAATTTAAATTAAAAAAAATTAAAAAAAATTAAAAAAAAAAAAGACGAATATAAAAAAATAAGTTTTTTTTTTTTTTTTTTTGTAAAACAAAATCCGTAAAATCAAATCATAAATAATGAAAAATTACCCAATCAATCCTGAAATGCTACCACATGAACATTATCACATCTTCCATTATATGATTAAAAAAAACCAACAAATATCAATACAAAGTGAAGAAGGTTGTAAAATCGTTAAAACATTTTTTTTCATAAAAAATTTATTTGGTATTTATGAATATAAAATAGATGGATCAAAATCTTTAAAAATTTATAAATATCCCGATATTAAATTGGTAAGAGTTTTAAAAAAAATATTGTATTATAGTTAATGTTTTATTATATATATATTAATAATTTTATTATATATTTTTAGAATACTATAGATGATTCATATATTTCCTCTCAGGATATAAATAGATGGAATCCAGCAAATGAAGAGATAAATATTCAAATTTGGGCAAATGGAGATTCTATTAACTCTATATCAAATTTAATTGGAAATCATTTTAAAATTAACAAATCAACAAAAAATTTAAGTACATATACTGTTCCACTTATTGAAAAAAATTTAAAAAATGATGAATATGTATCCCGAATACTATTGGGGTCGAGACTATGTAACCTTCCATTACATTCTAGTCGTAATCATTGGTGTCTATTATCATTTAAACAAATAGATGATAAAACCTATCAACCCATATTTTTTAATTCATTAAATGGGGTACCAAATTTGGTTGAGGAAATTTTAACAATATTTAGAACTAAGGGTTTTTTATTTTTAGATTTAATAAAAATTCATTTTTCTCAACTAAACAATAATGATTGTGGGGCATTTTTAGTGGTATTTCTGGATTTTTTAAATAGAATAACAGAAGAAGAGGAAAAATTAGTTTTTAAAACAAATCAAGATAAAGAATTAAAAACAAATCAAGATAAAGAATTAGAAAAATTATTTTTTACATCTTATTGTGGTAAATCAACAAAAATTACTCAAGATATAGTTAATAAATGGAGAGAAAACATAAAGAATATGTTGATTAGAAAAATTTATTTGGATTTTAAAATTATTGAATAAAAAAAAAACTTCATAAAGTTTAATAACGTTTTTATGTTCTTTTTTTTTTTTACAAATTTCTAATTTTTTTTCTTTTTTTTTTTTTTTAAAAATTTCTTATTTTTTTCAAATGTTTATTTTTTTTATTTTTTTTATTTTTTTTTACGCAAAAATAATAAACAAAGGTAAAGAAATTATAATTATTTATTATTATAAAATTAAAATTTAAATATAAAATTAAAAACAATTAATAAATTAAACCTTTCTAATTTGTATGTAGATATTCAATCATCTCGCGTAGTAATTATTGGCAATAATTACAAAATCATAGGTTTTTTATTTTTAAATAATTTACAAAATATAAAAATTTTTCTAATCAATTTTATTTAAAATAGCACTCAGTTGTATCAAATGTTTGTATTTTATAAATTATTTGCTAACAATAGATTGGATTTATTATAAAAATAACTTATTCTAATTAATTTTTTTTTCTTTTTTATTTGTTTCATTTTATAAATTCCGATCTATGTAAAGGTTAGTTAATTCATTATACATATTTTTTTTATAGAAATCTAATTAAATCTTTTTTTTAAATCAAAAAAATTGGTTCTGGTATGTATTTTATTCTTTGTTTTAATCGTTAGCCACGAATTTTTGTCAAAGTGAATGTTTAGAGTAAATATTAAAACCAATTTTAATTCATTTTGTTTAGTTATTTAATTATTAATTTTTTTTTTTTTTTTTGAAATTCATCGATAATGTTAGGTAACTTTCCAGTTGAAAATGTCTGAGCTTCATGTCCCTTAAATTATTGTTGAATTTCTCTTGCTTTATTTTTTTTATTTGAAATTCATCAATAATCTTCGGTAGCTTTCCAGATGTATCGGTAGTTTCGCTTTGAGGATGTCTAAGCTCCACGTCTTGTTGAATTTTCTCTAGCTTTATTACTATCTTTGTAATATGGTGGCGCTGGCTTGATGATGACTAATTGTTCAAGTTGCTTATGCCTTGGGATTTTTATTATTTTTATTATAGAAAAGTCGATTGACATTTCCAATTAAATGTCATTATTCTACACCTGTTTATTAAAATTTATATTCTTTTTTAAAAATTAAAACAAATAAAATTTTATTTGAATTATATTATTCTAAAATTAAATTTTAAATATTTTTATTTTGATTATTATCTGAAATATCTTTTTTTTTATCATCGATTATTATCTGAAATATCTTTTTTTTATCATCGATTATTATCCCAAATTTCTTTTTTTTTTAAATTAGATTTATAAGGGATTTCCGTTAGTTTTCACTGGTAGGTATTAAAAAAAAAAAGGTAATTTATCCGAAATTTGGTATATTTTGACATATTCGAAATTTGTAATTTTTTTTTTTTTTCGAATAAGTTGGTAATTTTTTACATATACCAAATTCATAATTTTTTTTTTTTTTCGAATAAGGTGGTATTTTATTACCAAAAAAAGTGGTCCATATACCAAAGTAAAATTATTACCCATATATACCATTTTTTTTCCGGAGGTGTAATTAAATCTCCAGTATCATTTATAATTTGATCCAATAATAATTTTGATAAAATTAAAAATGCTTGGTTGGCTGGGTCATCTTGATCAACCATTATAAATTTGTGATCATCGATACAGGAATAGATACCTTGGCCACATGGAACTAAATCGACCATTTGGGTAATGGATGAGGAAAAAATATTTTTATTATTTATTTGATTATAAATATATTTGAATTTATCATTACTATTATTATTAATTGCAGATGATTTAAATAATAAAATTGTTGGAATAATTTGAATTGAATGAACCTCTTCAAATTTATAAATTATATCTATTGACAACCCCATTTTAATAAAATATTTTTTGATTCCCTCTAAATTTTTAAAATAAACATTTAAATAATTTTCATCTTTTTTTTTAAAAGTGGTTATTAATGAATTTAATGGATCTATAGAATTTTTATAATGTTTGGCAATTATGCTTTGATTTAAAATTAAACTTAATAATCTATTTTCCATTTTATTTAATAATTTTGTAAAGGATACTATTAATTTAATATTTGTTTTATTATTTGTAAGCTATTTGTTTTTTAATAATAATAAAAATAATTTTTTGCTTTAAATACAAAAATTATTTTTGAAAATAAAATTAGAAAAAATTATAATATATATTTCCAAAATGTGCATTTTTTAAAATATATATTAATATTTTTAAAATGTGCATTTTTAAACTTTTTTTTAATTTTTTCACTTAAAAATATTTTTAAAAAAAAAATTAAAAAAATTAAAATAAAAGGAACAAATGTATATAATAGCTAACCATTTAAATGTAATAATAATAAAAATATAGTTCTTATTTATATATAAATGGATTAATTATTTTTTTTTATTAAATAAAATAAATTTTTAAAAATATTAGAAAAAAAAATTAAAATGGTTATTTAAAAAATTTTAAATAAGCATTTACTACTGTTAAGATTCTTTTAATTAAAAAGTAATTATATCATTTTTTTTTTTTTTTAAAATATTTTATTTGTTTTTTTGAATAAAAATTTCAAATATAAAAAAAATTTACCAAAGTCCCTGCGTAAGGATGACTATAAAGTAATCAAGAAGACAAACCTTTTTTCCCCAACTGATCCCCCCAAAAAAAAAACTCCAATCTTTCTGGTGATAAAAATAATCTTTCTGGGAAATAAAAAGTATATCGTAGTGTGGAAGAAAAACCAAAGATACAATGTTAATAAAAAATAGTAATCTAATGTCTTGAATAATCGTTAAATAAATGGGTTTCTTCAAAAAAATAAAAAATAAATGAGGTGAGAAAGTGTGGGCAAAAATTAAACATGAGACAGAATCTTAAAAAAAAATCCATAAAACAAATCTATAAAA